TTTGCCATTTTTCCCCTCATGGATTGCTGTGGGTCTGGTTTTGCACGTGGATCATTGGGTGGACACACCTGCAGAGTGTCAACCACTCTTGATTCATTTGCTGTCGCCTCGTCGATTGTTTTTAACACAATTAATTGTTATGCGCTTTTAATGCCCATTTCGCTATAACATTGTTTGCATTACATAAGTCGGGTGGATGTATGCATACGGTAAACACTGTAAATATGTAAATATGCTTATGTATGTATGTGCATATCTTATACATGTGTGTACCTAAAACCACATGTTTGAATTGCACACTTAACAGTTTTGTTGCGTTTTCTGGCCTTTGTTTGGGCTTTATATTTTTTAGCGTTAATTTTATTTTTGCTTTTATTTTTCGAGTTTGGCAAAGAAAAAGAAAAACTTTCTCCCGGCCGCCGCCGCCTGTCGTGCCAGCTTGACGCACCACAAAAATGGAGAAGAAGATAGCCAAAGAGAGGGACAGCGATGGCGTGAGTGGGGAGCGGCGCGAAGGAGCGATGCAGAGGGAGGGAGAAACTGAAAAACAAGATGATTTACTGTAAGAAGTGATCATTGTTGGGTCTCTTGACTTATTGTTTATTTTGTCAAAGGTGTTGTTGGAGAGGAAACGGAACTTTTCGAGTTTCGGAAACACATGGTTGTAAAGTAGAGACAGTGCGTATCATGACCATATGATTGGAATGAGCATGGGATTATGAGAATATATGGGAATGTTGTTACTGATCCAGAAATAACAAATATCCATTACCCCAATATACAAAATAATTACACTTTAAGTGTCAGCCTTCAATTTGCACACAACAAAATATCATTTATACATTTTCTTAAAGCAATGAAAAACACTTTAGTATCGCAAAATCTTTGACTGTTGGATATCTAACGAGCAAAAAAGTGATAAAAAATGATGATAAATCACCTGCAAGCGAGCAACAGATAAGAGACGGATCCCACCCAGCGAGACCTAGACCCAGTCGCAGTCCCAGAGCTGCCATATCTTAACGCCCGCAACTTGTCTTTAATCAATCACGTTTCGCTTATCGCCAAGCTCGGCATGAGATGAAAATATGAAGCTTGGGGAAAAGTATGAAAAGAAAAAACTGAACACTGACCACAGACAGAAAATAAATTACAGTCAAGGTTTAAGCCGCCTCATTTCGATTATTATGCAAACAACAATTATAGTACATATTTGGCTTACAATGAAAACAACAATAGCAAAATCCAGTGCGTGCCTTGAAAATGCCAGACAGTCAATGGAAAAGTGGAAAGTTTGAGTCCGGCTTTAATGTGCATAATTATTGTACACATCGGTTCAGTTGGGTTTATTTCTTTAAGCATTTAAACACCGCCTCGAGACTGCGTAACGGCCGCCTCCGGTACCACCGCCTCTCCCCCTCACAAACAGAAACACACACCCCGGCACACCCACGCTCCCAAAGTTCGTGCCGAAATGCATTTTTTAAGTTTACAAACTTCTTGTTTGCTCGCTTGATTTGCCTTCTGTTTGTTGTGCCTTCTGGTCTGGGTTTGCTTGCCTCTGGCACGTTGCTAATAAAGCGACTATAAAATGCGGGAAAAGTCTTGCAAAACAAACAAAAAATGCGACGACAAAAATGGGGAAAATAAAATGCTCATATTTGTGCCATTTGTTCGAACGAGTTTATGTGAAAGTACGAATAAATGTTTGTATCTGGCCAATAGTTAATACAAATTTTACGGCCGGACGGACAGCGCGTTGCACTCGATCGAAAAAATTGTATGGCATGGCCTGGTCTGGGCTGGGCTGGGCTGGAACACGTTTTCCTCTGGCCATTTTGGTGTTTGGTTTTTGTTTCATGCGTTGTCTCCTTTTGGCACATTATTGACAATTTCTTTTTATTCAACTTTTGTTGTTGTCCGCGAACGTGCGTAGCAATTGTCGTTGATTGTGGAAAATCACACCAAACCGCATATAGATACAGATACCTGCACTGCACAAACACACAGATACGCACACAAATGTGAAAACCGGCCACCGGCAGCGTTGCTGCAGTCAATCGTTGACTGTTTGCAATGAAATGCGAATTTCATTCATGGCAATTTGCTTGAGAGTTACGTCTCGAATGGGGCTGGACAATGACAAGCCCGTGGAAGTAGGCGGACCAGGCGAGGGGCATCGGAAATCAGGTGCTCATAAATGAAGAAAGCCATAAGTAGCCGTCAAAGAGACACTCGAGATTGTATACCAATAAAAAACTAGATTTCAAACCTAAAGCAAACAAATTTCTAAACAAAAGTTATCAGAAATGACCAAACAAATGATGGAAATTCCTTATCTATTCGATTTTAAAACAAAACACATGTGTGTTCTTCTAAGGAAAATGCATTAGCTGTGTACACAATGGACCCAATTGGACAATTGGCAAAACTTTTCGCTTTTGAGTCATGCGGGAAAATCCCATTGGCAGTCAATCGATTTGAGTCACCTTATGCCGAATACTCGTACGAATATAAAATCACTTGCCAGATCGGTCAGATCTTGTATTACGAGTACCTAACGCAGGTCGAGTTACCGATTTGCATTCCTAAGACTTCCCATGCAAACTCGAATTTGTTGTATAACTGAAACCCAAAACGCTTACAAAAATTTTACCGAAAAAACAAAAGCAAAATAAAATGCATGAAGAAATTAATTGTAGGGCTGATCGAAAAACGTAAATATTTCGGTGCTTCCGCTGAAATGTTTAGTTTGGGCCAAGGAAAGTTTCGTAAATAAAGTATTTAAGCTGAGATATAAATATATTAGTTAAAATATCCGCTAGGTGTTTATGCAAATGAGCAGAAAAACCAGCAACAAAAAAAAGCGATGAGCAGAAACCGAAATCCACGCAAAAAATTTCACATAGTCAGCTGCTACAGCAGAAAATAAATAAAATCAGACGCGCCAGACGGGTAATAATTATCAAAAGAAATTATAGCTGCCTTGGGTGTGTGTGTGTGTGCTGGTGAAATGCGAGACTAAGACTCGACGCGGCAGAGAGCAAGTTTTAAGGTGCTAAAAATTATGCTGCCAGCCAGCAGCAGATTATGAAATATGCCAGCATGCACCACCGACCTACCGACAGGAGGGTAGATATTTTAAGCTTAAGCCCCAATAGAGCGGAGCCTCAGTAGAGTGTTTTAGCCTGAAGAAAGCCTCACAGAGCTGCCATAAATTCCAGTTAACTCCAATCGGGTTTGTTTAACTCATGCTGAGCCGCCAATTAAGAAAAACAAATGGCAACGGTAAGCTGAGCGGATATTAGGGTATCCCATGGTCGAAGCATGCATTTCAGCATTCATTTGGCTTGAATCGGGATTGGATTCGGCCTATCCTATTGAACGCGTTGAGGTTGCTCGTTTTAAGTCTGGCTGGTTAACTCGTTTGTTAGGAGGCGGCCACATCGAAAAAGGGAGAATGCCAAAGGCTCTCCTCCTCCTCCTCTCTTTTGTTGTTGTTGGTGTAACTTACACTGTGCTGCAGATTGTTGCTTCTGCCAGCTGCTGTTGTTGTTGCGGTTTCAATTGACTGACAGTCGACGGGGGGGTGGTGCGCGGATGCGGGACAGGAATAGACACGTTCCGGTATCAGTGTCGTTTCCCGTGCGTTTTCCAGTCAGCTTCTCTCGCTTTTTGCGGTGATTTTGTTGTTAGAGAACGAACGTTTTCGCGTGAGTATTGGTTTTCTTTCGATTTTGTTAGGTAGACGCACTTCACTTGGAAGACTTGATGTAAAAAAAACTAGAGCTTAGAAGTAAACAATATCTCTTGTGAATCACTTGCTTCTTCTGTTATTTACTCAATATTATTTGCTTGTTAATTGGTTTCGTTGTTACAAACTGGAATTTTCGGTCGATTTTTTTCATATATCTTTCTTTTTGTCGGGGGGTCGTTTAGAAAGTGGGTTAACTGATTGGACAGCTCTCCTATATGTATGCAAATTATTGGGTTTGAACTGCAGCCGTCACGTGCACTCAATTTATTTGATTCGATTTATTACTGCAATTTTCAACTTTATTCAACTTTGTAATCTTGGCGTTGTTGCTGGAGACACTACAATGCGAAATTGTGGTTCGGATCTCCCACTCCGGGCGCTATAATACAACTTGATCTTCCGCTTGGGACGTTTGCACTCCAACTCGTTTCGTTTGCGAGTGAACGGAGAACGCTGCGAACGCTCTGAACGAATGAATGAATGAATGAATCACATTCTTCGTCGTGTTATTCGAGTGAGTTTTTCATTTGAGTTATTTTTCGTTCAACTTGGATATTTTTTAAACCGCTCTCAAGAGTCAAATCAAAATCATAGTTGCTATTGGGGGGCATTAGAAAGGATCTGGGACATTGGAAAATTTTTCAAACAAAACAACTTCTTTACTTTAAGTACACACACATAAAATAAATATAAGCATAATAAAATAAACATTTGCAACTCTAAAAATCTTAAATTAAGATCACTTGGATTCTAGATATTCGTTGAGTTTCAAAAGAAACACTCAAAACTTAATTCACTCAAGACACGATCGGTCATGTTGCCCAATTCCACTCGCATGTTGCTGTACTCATGTTGCCAGCAAACCGGTTCCTGTACTGGCTATTGTTGAGTGTCGATCTTTTATGTACCCTTTTTGCTCTAATTTATGTTGAGTCTCATGTTTTATAAGCTGCTTCTCAATTTAATAATCATGCGTTTAGTGCAGATTCATGCATTTAATTCTAAAATGTTCATGTATCGCTCCAGAGACCTTTTCTCGGTCTCTTATATGTTACATTTTGTGGCTATAGAAAACATCGCCCAATGATCCAACATCTGCATATTCCAGGGTAATTGAAATGTTGCTCCATTTTGGTTGCATGTTGCTGAAAGATGTCCAGTCTCCCAAAAACTGTAACTATTTAAAATATTTATCGATAGCTATAACTATTTAAACCAAAAACAACATATTTTGCACACAAACCGCTTTGATGCCACTTTAATTCCTTGTGTTTTATATAATACACTGATAAAAGCTTTGAATTTAACAGTCTCCGAGCCGTTGGTTAACTAAACAAAATTATAAGTAATAGAAAATAGAAACAGAGCTTTGTGGTTCTGGTACTGTTAACGGATGCTAGGACTCCAACTCCAGGTAGGCTAGGCGATCAGAGAATATTACCAGTTGTACGTCGCTTCCTTCATGTTATCCAAGAGCATTTGCCGTGAGTTGGATCACATGCAGCTTTATGTGTGTTCCCTTAATTTGAAGCCGAGAGTGTGCAGGAGAATCTGCCGGTTTTACTCCCCGAAGAGCTAAAATCAACATGGATTTGGGCGTAGTTGGTTCGAGAGTAGCTAGTCTCGGATAGTTGCCTCTTGCCACAGTAGGTATTCGTACTCTGCAGCACCCCATCACCGTGGTACCTCTTGACAACGAATTTGTTATTGATGCATCCATTTGGCTAATAAATAAAATGAAAATTATCACCAAATAGTGGAGGCTATTTCGCGGGCACTTACATCCCTTGGAATGTCAATTTGGCAGGTTAGGATCAATTTGTTATTAGCGAAAGAGCTGGTAGCTTGCATCTGGCATTTGGTGCCTGGTGTGTATTTTTCGGGATACCTGGGGGATCGGAAATAGAACGATTGTCCAGTATCAACCGCCTGTCTAAAGTCACACTCCCCTGTCTGCCCGCTGGCCAGCAAGATTGGGGCGAGCAGGAAGGAACTCAGTACTCCGATTAAGATGTTCATTTGCTCAAAACTTGTCGCCCTAGAAGCCACCACTCAAATGGTTAAGCCAGGCAATGGTTCTTGGAATATACATATAAAGGCTACTTTTTCAATGCAAATCTCAGCCAGCTGTTCAATCAGCAGCTGCAATTGTTCATCGGCCTTACACAGGTTGAATGTCTCTTTATAAATATTCAACTTACTTTCTGTACAAAAAGAAAGAATTGAAAACTGGCCGCAAAACAAAATGCATTTCATTTGAAATGACTTTAATTTGTTTAATTTACTTTAACGTGATTTACATTTCGAATCGACGCGCTCTCGAGTGAGGAGCGGGTAGGGGCTCTTAGTGGTGTCCCTGTTTCTCGGCCTCGATTTGCTCCTTGGACTTGTAGCCGACCTGCTCCTCGGGGGTGTGGGGCCAGAAGGTTGGCTTGTTGAGGGGGTCCAGTGCGCTGTCGGGGAATGCATCGCGGTAATCCTCCATGGTCATCTGATCGTATGGCAGCAGCGACTTCAGATGGGCAATCTCCTTCTGGTAGTTCTGGATGCGCTGCTCCGAGACCTTCTTGTAGGAAGCAATCTCCGACTGCGACTCCTTGATCTCGGCGTCCACCTGGGGCGAGACAGTGTCCTTGGGATAGGGCACGGAGAGGGCATCGTACTGCTTCTGGAAGCTATCGACGAGGCCGGCCACGGGCACCATGGCCTTGTAGTAGGCCCAGTCGATCTTCGGTGGGCTCTCGGGATTGGCCATCACGGCGCGCACATAGATGTCCGACTTGGTCTTGAAGGCGCCGAAGCTGGTCTTCTGGTTGGCGGGCACACGCTCGGCCAGAGCGGACCAGTTTATCGAGGATTGGGCGATGCGGCGAGCGGCCATTCTGTAGCACAAATACTGAAAAAATCGCAACAAAAACATAAATTAGATGAGGTTAGGTTCTCATGGTGGAAATGGAAATGTAATGCCCAGTCGGTATTCCTTAAGCATAAATAGTTTCTCTGGATTGTGCTGCTTGAGTCCCATCTGCTACGTTACATATTATGCACTTTCCATTCCACAGAAAATTATGCGTGCAAAAATTATGTAATTTGGCCGTAGCAGCACCCTTCCGACTTGTTAGGGTCGGAAAAGAGCGTATTCCTTGGGGTTTCATTTAGTTGGATATCCATTAAGTTTAATTATATCTTGCTGCACATTAATCCAGTAGTTTAATTTAGTTTTTTTCAACATACTTTAATTTATACGAAGTTTTAGATTTAAGAATTCTGCACCAACACTTACTTTTTTTGAACAGTGTGACCGCGTTATCGTCAGCCCAAATATACCAAAAATACCATCTGTTTAAATATATACCGTAATATACCGTAGTCTTAAATCATATTCCTCGTTTTGTGTGTTCTATTTGATATTACTAGCTTGCAAAGACTTTTAACACTAACAAAATAATTCAATCAGTTTGAAGAATCAATTTGACTTATTATAAATATAACTTTCTATTCGATGTATACTTTATGACCCTTTATTTTACAGATTTGTCTTTGTATATTTCATTAAAGCAACGATCAGAAGCAACGATAGTGCCAGCTGTGTTCTTGCAGCCCTGGTTCCATCAGCTGCTCAAAATATCTCGCATGTGGATTACTTTCTACTTAAATTAGTGGTTTTTTCTGTTAATATTAATAAGAATGCTGCTGAAACAGTTGCCACAGGCTGTGCAACAGCTGCGCTGCATTTCCTCTGCCACAACAGCAGTGACCAGGCTGCACCGGTCCGTTTACTGCCGTTTGTATCCCACGGTGGTCGTCCAGCCGGATGGATCCACCATTAATATTCGCTACCACGAGCCACGAAAGATCATCAAGGTGGGTGCAGGCACAATAACTAACTAGCATATCCTAATATAATTCATTTGATTCCACTCCTGTTTTAGTTGCCTTTGGATTTGTCCACTTTATCAGAAGCCGAGCGAAAGTCCCGCCTGGAGGCACGTAAGCCGCGCAAGAAGGTTAGGATTATGGAGGAGGTGGATGACAACTTTAATGCCAAGAAGTACATGAAGTTTATCAAGAACAAAAAGTAGCTCTAATGTTAAAACAATTGTTATTAAAACTTATACATTTTGTTATATAAGTCTGGTAGCTCCCTTGGAGTTGTGCAGCGCTGCCACATCCGAGAATAAAGGTCAAAGGCATTTCTATTATTGGTGGTTTTTAATTCTACCAACTCTTTAAGCTACTTTTGGCATCATTATGATTCTGAACAGCACATATTCATTATCACGCAATCAGAAAGGGTTAATATTTCCAATTTAATATACAATTTTCTGTACCGATGTGGTACCGATAGCTCTTTGCATCGATAATGGTTGTATGACACTAATTACACTACCAAACAGCTTGAAAAACTAATATTTTTAATATAGGCCATAAAACTGTCCTTATCATTGATTGAAAAGAAACAAGTGTCTAAAAAACGTAACATTTCATAACCTCTTATGTTTACATCTTAATTTAAATGAATTGCCATTCACAATTTTTCAAAATCGCTCATTCGCAATGGCACAAATTCAACAATTCACAATGGGGCAACATTACCAGTTCACAATGGGAAATAACCAATTCACAATAAGAAATTACCAATTCACAATGGGACTGTTTTCTCAATTTCTTTAATTATTGTTTATTGTTCATTCTGCTTTCCACCGTCATCCGCGCATCGCGCATTCGCCACATTGAATCCATTACTCAAAAACAATTTCGGGGACAACAAAGTCGGACGTGTGTGCGCGTCGTGCAGAGTTTTATTTTTATAATTTATGTGCGATTTTTTACGCAAGTGTCAACCAACATGTCCTTTTCGCTACCCCAAAACTTGATGTACAACCAAAGCTGCAGTTCCAGTGAAACAGAATACCCATAAAGTGTCGGTGGAATGTTGAATGGGCAGCCTCGTCGCGTTCAATCACAGAAAAAAAATAAATACACAAGCGAATGCTGCAGCATAGCAGAGCCCCGAGCCCCCCCGCAGTAAACAAGACCTAGACACAACAAAGTAGTTGGTGAAATTTTATTTTAAAACAAAACTCGATGTCTGTTTTGTTGGTGACAAGATTTTTTGGTATTTAATTATTAGTGCTTCTTCGTCTCGCTGTGTGCGTGTTGTCGGTGTGCAAATAACTGCAATTGCAGCAAACAAACACATACATACATACACACCTAATTGGATTATAGCAGCACGTCGGCAATAAGAACAACGAAAGCATCTGCAGCAGCAGCAAAACCAATAATACTGGTAAATAATTAACTAAAAATTAAGGCAAATATCAGCTTCCCTGCTGCTCTGCTCTGCCTGCCCCGAAATTCTGTTGTACAACAATTTTCTATGCGTGCGCTTGTGTGGGTTGTCTGCTTTGCCGTTGCCTCTGCCTCTGCTGCTGCGCTCGTTACAGCAGCGGAAGCAGCGGACTGCGTCTAGAGATGGGGGGCCTGGCCTGCGACCTTAACAGTGGCTCCCAAAAGTTAAGCACTGCGAATATGTGTAGTTTTGAAATAATCGAAATAAAATAATGAAAATAGCCAATGCAAAGTATTATTATACACATCATTACAATTTTATGTATGATTATTAGTTAACATCGAAATAGATACCCAGGCATCTGTATCTGTATAAAAAAAAACCTTCCAGAGAGCTAGAAGTAAACAAAAAAAAAAGAATGGTTTGCATGAATGGGATTTTTGATTCGTTAAGAATGACCCACTTGTAGTTTTGATTATTTGCAGAGCAGCTGTTCACTCTGTCAAACAGCTGTTCATGAATGGGCCATAAACACAGCGAACAATTATGAAAGCGAAATTACGCTGTTACGACTGCCCAATAATCTGAAATACCAAAAGCAATGTCCTTCTAAATGGGGAAACCCTCTTATGGTTACTCTTAACGATGTCATCTTGTTCAATTTTCTTCCGGTTGCTCGGTTTGTGTTAGTGTCATTCCACGGTGGTACAGTTACGAACAACTAATGCACGAAACTGATTCAAAGTGTTGCATTTGCATTTGTTTAAGAAACCTGTTGTGTATGGGAGGTCAGCCACTGCGATATGTCAACTCGTGATGCTTTCCATCTTGCACATCTCTAATCGTTGCACTAGGGCCCGTGCCCTCTGCCCTGCCAGAGCCCCTGTAGAGGGATTGCCTTCCTTCCTCTTTCTGTGCATTCGCGTTTGCGTGTGTCTGTGTGTGTGCGTGCGATCGGAATGTTTAATGAGGAAGGTGGCAGGCTGCACAACGTAAATATTTTTGTATGAAGCGGAAATGTAAAAATAACACAAACACATTTGCAACTTACGAAAAAGCAACACACACTCTCCATTCATGATGATGATGATGATAGTATGATGATGAAGATGTTTTCCTAGGTTTGTGTTTTCCAATGCCATCCGCGCTACCGTTTTGCTGCTTCTCTCTCCGTCTATCGGGGTTCTCTCTCTCTATCTCCCTTTCTGTTTGATTCAGCGGAAAGACTGTTTTTCCACGTAAAATGCAAATGCTGCGACAGATGTTTCGCTCGTTATAGTGGATCCACGGATCCATGGATCCAGACATAGCAGAGCCATAGTACATATTCCCGATTCTCTCCCTATATTCATCTTCCACTTGGGTTTCCCGTTTCCCGCCTACTGCCGGGACTGGCAGCTGCCTGGTTTGCCCTGCCTGATTGGGATTGTGCCGGTTTGGTGGTTGTTGCTGCTGCTACACATATTGATGTTGTCTTTTTGTCCGTCCGGTGGTGTGACCAACTGCATTTTTGTGGCTGTTGCTGTTGCTGTTTCCAGGAGGGGGAATGGTGCCCGGTGCATGTTGCTGGGGGTGAATGTGAATGTGTGAATGGGTAAGGTTGAGGGCTTTTTTTGTTTTGTTTTTTTTTCTTGTGGTGTTTATAAAATTAACAACAATCACCCTCTGATCTCCCAGCCAGCCAGCCGGCTGAAAATGCAACCTAAGCTAATTTGTTTTCATTTGTGTGGTGTGTGCCCATGCCCGCATCCCATCGCAGGGGAAAGGAAAACTGAAAATAAACTAAAAGAAATAATCAGAAGGAACACAAAAAAGGCCCGATACTCACCCGCGAAATGCGCCATTTGTTCTCATTTCTCTTTTTTCTCTTTGATAGCTTCGTTTTTTGCACCTTCTTTGGCGCCTGTTTCTCTGTTTCTGCATCTTCTTTTGCTGTCCAACTGCATACATCAAGTGTTTTGTTTTGTTCGATCTTCGTATGAGACGACTTGCACTTGAAGCTCAAAATAAATCGCATTTTCTTTCTAGTTTCTGTGCATTTCGCTTGCATACCCTGGGCACTTGTACAGTGCTGGGGTATGTATCATATATTGAGGTGTTTGTCAGTCTGTATTCAAAATTGAAAATTGTGTAACTTCTTCTCATTCTATTTGGTATTTTGCCTATTTTTCTTTCATCCAAAATCCAACTGCTGGGCTTTCCATAGTCTTAACACTCAACTAGAGCATTTCTAATCTTTCTTCTTCATCGGATTGCGCCTCTGATTGTTTAAAGTTCATTTACGCTAGGCAATTGTTTTATTTTAGTGACTATTTTCAGAAAGATTTTTAAGTTCGCAGAGCAATGGGCGCTGGGCGGCACGTGAGCGACTGAGCGACCGCCTTCCCTCTCTGCCGTGAGTATTGCCATAGAGAATGAAGTCTTTTGCCAATTAGTCAATGCCTAAATGGCGCATTAATCGATGCAATGGAACTTGTTTAGGCCTTTTTAGTATGCAGGCCAAAAGAGGGGAGGGTTCTTTACACTGACAGAAAGTGAAACTTTTGATCGATTTTGGTGCTGCTAATTAGGCGGTGTGTCTAGCCCCTCCATTCCCATTCCATTCTACACCTAATGGCAGCAAATGTTTGCTTGAATAAGTATATAAATTTGTTTCGTGAGATCCCCTGCTTTCCATTTCGTTTAGCGGAATGAATCACTTGCTCTCGGGGTACCAGAAAATACCTTCGATAGTGGCTTGACTCTCTTGGAATGCAGCCTCAACCACATTTACATAGAGCAGGGCCAGAAGAGATCTCCAGTTGGGAATGAGTTGGTAATTTTCTTCTTCTGCTGCTGCTGCTGCTGCTGCTGCTGCTGCTGCTCGTGGGCGTATCGCATTGTATCTTTCAGATATAGGCATAGGCGTAGAAGAATTTATGAGCGCGACAACGACATGAATTTCATTTGGTTTGGTCTTTTCTTTTGTGTATGTTCCGTTCCGAGAGTGTGCCATGTCCCATTTTCTTGCTTCTTTTCTTTCTTTTTATTTCTTTGTATCTCGTTTTTGTGTTGTTCTTTGATAATTTTACTTGGCTTTGCTTTGTTGCCCCCGAGACGAGACTTCATCTTTCTTTGTTTATAGAAATTTGTAACGTCTTTGGCTGCGTCTTCTTCTCTTTCTTCATCACTGTGAGTTTTTCTTCTATGGAGGAGGCCATGAAGTGGCGTTTTTTATCTTCTTCTTCTGACCAACTTTCCTTTTCATTAACGTTTTTTTTTTTCGGTGCTCCACACACTTCCTGAAGTCATCTTCTGCCCCTAGGGCCTACTTCTACAGCTCCTACCCTCAACAAATCGGAAATATCATTTCCCATTTCATAACAAAGATTTATGTGCATTTAATGGATGTGAAGAATGTATGCCATCAAGTGTACTCCTCCATGGGCACGCGCCTACGTGGGCGACAGCGCAGACGAAGTCGCGACCGACCCTTGGCCTCATAAAAGTGCAACTTGATCTGTGTGCCACAGTGTTGCTGCCGCAGCAACAGCAGCAGCGGTTTATTGACTCAAGATTGACTCTTGCCGTAGCTTGTGGCGGTTAACGGTTACGATTTTGGGACATCATTTCGGTCGATTATGGCGGCGTATTGCTGTTTAATAGACTGAAAGTTAACTTGAAAATTAATAACTCTGTGGAGTAGAAAGATTCGACGATGTTGTACCTGTTACTCATGCAACCAACAGCTTGTAAAATCACTGATAGAATTTTCACTCAGTGCACAGCTCCTCCATATTCGTTTTCGTTGATTTTGTGAGATCTGAGATTGCGGCAACCGTTATATATTTATTTTCCATATGCTTTGGCAATCCCCCCTCCATGGGACAGGGCCTGACCTTTGCTTTTGATATTCCTATTTATAGGCAATAATATTTGGATGCTTTGCATTTTGTGGTTTTCCACACGAGAGATACAGTCTTTGTGTGGATGGAACGTGATGTGAAAATTTATGCATGCAATGTGCCACACCACCACCTCTCACAAAAAAAACAAAGTAGTTGCGGCACCCAAAGAAACGATTTAATAGATTCACCCAAAAAGGCCTTGACTTAGTTTGTGGAGCGTGCTGGACGGATTTTTGTGGGCCACAGCTAGAAATTCAAATATTCAGCATGGAACAAATTTCTTTCACTCGAAGAGCTCTTTTTTCAACGATTTCTGATGGATTTTCAAGCCTAATGTTTAGCGGAAACTCAAGAAAAATCCACAACACTGTGGGGACGAGGGAAGACAGAGACCCTGCCATTTGTTTAACGATCCTTGGGTAATCGTGAGGCAGGTGAAACTCTTTCCTTGTCATGGCTCTTAATGAAGTGTAGCACAGTTTTTCCTCAGCCTCTTTCCAAACTCTTTTCCTCTTTCAATTTTTGCCAAATGCTTTCGTTGTCGCCGATTGGCAGCGGTTAGCCGCAATTGACCCTAATTATGGGGACTGTTGCTGCCGGCTTTTCGGCTCTTTTGCGAAATCTGTCCAAACACACAACGAGCCAAAGACGAAAAAAAGATTGGCTCAATTCGCATAACTTCCCCCCCCCAGAAAAAATGGAGGAATGTTGTGTTAAAATTGTGCTTAGTAATTTGGATTTTATTTGGGTTTTTTTTTTAGTAATCTCCCTCTGCTTTACCTCTTTCCTTCCCTCTCCTCTCCCCGCTCGAGGCCAAAAGTGAGAGTTTGTGGAACCGTTAGGAATTGTACCTCCATCATTATCATTATGTCGTTAGATATTTCGTTGTAATTATTTTGTTATAGTTATAGCCCAATTATCAAGCTTTAGTTTTTTCTTGTCTAGAGAGCCCCTTTGGCCCTCTCGTACGATCCTGTGGTACATTTCCAAGCCATTTTCTATATCTTATCACTGGAATATGTATAACCTGATAAGGAATGGAAAATCGAAAAAATGCCTACGTTTTGGCTGTTTTTTCTTTTGTTTTCAGAGCCACAAAATAATTGGTTATATCATCCATTCCACACCTGTTATCATCAGAGAGTAGAGTTTGCTTCGTGCCTTGTTTAGGGATGATTGCCAGATGGATGGAGAAGCTTCGCCTGTGGACTGGCTGACTACCTTCCTGTTTCTCTAAGGGAAATCCAATTTTCAAGCTCAAGGCCAAGGTTGCGGGTGCTTGCAGTAGTCGTGATTATCTACTTATTTGCTGATGAACTGAACTCATTTGCCCAGCTATCCCCCTCCCCGCGAGTCGCTCTCTGTGTGGCAGTCCCCGTGAGACAACACAGCCGTGGAAACGACAGCAAAATGATAACCAAATTGTTGCTAAATTACACAGCGAAAAAAAAAACAAAACGCAGGGAAAAAATAGAAGTCATTTGTTTGTTCGTGTGTGTGTGGGCTTGTGTGTTTGTGTGTGTTTTATCGCACTTGAAAACAGTCGTCGCTATCAGCAGAACGTAGGAACAAGTGCCTGGGTACTCGTACTATCATTACCATGAGAGAGTGCCTGCCCAGCGTTTGATAAGCGGCGCCCCGACCATCATCAAAGGAAGGCACCCCGTTGCCCATTGAGACTTTGACCCTGAATAATTTATTAGCCATAAAAACAAAAGAACACAAGAACTCGAGCAGCATCGATTAATTTATTCAGACTTTTTGGTTAGTTTTCGGCATTTGCTAATCTGAAATGTCTAAGAAGAAAACAAGTATCATAAATACAAAAAAAAGTTGAAACTAATCCTCTGCAAGTATTGGGATTATTCGTGGAAGGGAATCAGCAATCATCTTAAGCAAAGATTTGGTTCTTTTGAAGAGTTTTCTATCTTGCCAGCGAGTAGATTTCGTTCTGGTAAAAGTTGCTTGAGGAATTTCCTCCTCATTTTTATCGGTAGTTGCAGTATTGCTTGGAGCACCACTCGAACCTCCCATTGTCTCTTTTCCTACCTCAAATGTACACATTATAAGAATTCATTGTAGTCACACACATCGCTGATATCGCTTTGTGTATGCCGCGTGACAACAAAATAAAATAATACAATTCGTTGAACATTTTTTAATTAGCACTCCATAAAAATACACACACACACACACACAGATGTTGATCACGCGCCTTTGTGGGATATAAAAATACATGCACAGATTTATTTGCATTTCATTAGAATGTGATGTGTTGATGGGGACTGATTCAATTGTACTAATTTATTTGCGTACTTTTTTCCTGTTTCTTTCCAGACTTCCAATCGCCAGTGCATCTTCCAGTGCAGCAGCGCTTCCAACACATCATCTGAATACATAGTGCCAAAACTGTAACTTCAAATCCAAAGCATTCCAAGAACAAGTGGCATTTTGATTGTTACAAATTGTCAAAACAAAACAAAAAATTAAAAAAAAACGACAGCTGCTTTTCTGCTCTTAACAACAAGTAGAAAGATCTTCCAGCAGGCGCTATAAACAATCATATCGTGATCATATAACGTGATCCAACCTATCCATCAACATACGTCGTAGCTGATAAAAATGAATCTAAATCAACATAGTGGACCTGGACCGCCGGAGCTGAAGATGGATGTGGATCAGGTGGATTCAGCATCCACCGCTTCGCCCTTCAACTGGCCAAACCCTGCCACAGCCTACAAGGCAAGCGTGCCACATGGAAAGGTGGCATCTGCCCATGTCACAGATGTCACAGATGGGGAGGAGGCCAGCGCCTCCCTAACGCCGCAGCAGCAACAGCAGCCGGGGGCAACTGGGAATGGCCTGCCGCCGGCACCTGTGACCCGTACCATATCGTCGGATCGTCTGGTGACTGGAACCTCCTGTCGGGCTCTGCGCACCGCCGTTTCAGCATTATATTCCGTTGATGATTTTGTCAAGGAGAAAATTGGCTCTGGATTTTTCTCGGAGGTGTACAAGGTGAGTGACAGTACTGAAGATGCATAGATATATAAATAGATACACAGATACAGATACTGCCTCGTCACGGCAATGCTCGAGCTATTGAAATTCATTGAGTGGCAGACACACAGAAGATGGGCGTTTTGTTCCCACAATATGGGCATCATAATATGTTTTGATGGCACTTTCATTTTCGCAACATTAACAACAATAACGGTAACAGCAATAGCAATAGCAATAGCAATAGCAACAATAGCAGCAGCAACAAATGCGATTATGTACACAATTTTAATTAAACCCTAACGATTTTTCGTAATTACTCAATAGTCTTTATTGCTGTGGGGCTGGGGCTGGTGTTGGGGCTCATCATTATCATCGGAGAGCCTCCTACAGCGATCCCAAAATAAATTGCAAAACAATAGCAGCTGCGAGAGAGTTTTTTCGTGGGCTACCCCATAAAATATGCTTCGTGCTCGTGAAAAGCGCATTCGAAGTGCAGTGAAACCGTGTGTAAAAATTAATGGCGTTTAGCGTTTTAGTCTCGCGGCTCCACCAAAAAACACCAAAAACTTACATACATCGATACCAGTGTAAGCCGCTCAGTTCGCAACGGTTGTTGGACCACCACCACCAAGAAAAAAAGGGGGAGTAACGCTCGGTAAATTAATAAGTTGCAACTCGCAACACAGACTTTGACATTAAGTTTGTAATTAGTGTTTTTGGGAAGGTTATTGGTATTCCGTGATACTGCAATAGCCAGGAGCTAAGCTACTGTGTGAGAGAGATTTATAATTTCAAGGCCTTGTTGCTCTTCGATCATAGGTAGAAATATTCATTGCCAAGCTACGCTGTAAAAGAGAGGGAGAGTGATACAATTCTCATTTTAAATATAAATCTCTTTCTCTTTTGACTAAATTATATTGAACTTTCTCACAAATTTGTATGAACGAAGGAATGAATGAATGTACCAATGAATGAATGAATCAAAATGATTGAAAAGAAAACGGTTTCACTTTCATTTTCTGAAGTTTTCAAGTGATATTTACCAGACGCATTTCTATACGATTATTATGTGATTTGTTTCGGTTATTTGTTTGCCTTTTATATGCATCTACTTTCCCATCGTGCCCTTCCGTTCCCGCAAACGGCTTTTTGCAATTATTTTCTGTAGTTGTTTAATGAAAGCGCCTAAATGGAAATCTCTGGTCTGGCATTCATTGAAAGGACTGTTGCGCACTCGTATCTATTCATGAGTGCATATTCTAATGCCACAAATTCCATGGCGCATGGCGCATGGCGCGTATCTCATGGATACTCTTCTGGGTCTCCCTCTCTCTCTTTGGCGGTGAATAACCCACCGATGGGAGAACTTTGCTTGCCTGCTGGACGGACGGACTACCTGCTGATTTGCATAACAGCTCCAGTATATTCGCTTCCCCGACATTTCCCTCGATGAAAGAATAAATTGTTGGGCCTCCGTGCAACTCAAAGATAAACTCCAGGCGCAGGCCTGTTTATTTGCGTGTGAAGTGCGTTGGGATTCCATCCGACTCCAATCGATTGCATTTCCGCATTGTTATGCGCCGCAGCTGGCAGACAATTAATGGAACCAGAAGCCGCTGCAACAACAGATCGGAAGGGGATTGGGATTCATTTAAAGCTTAATTGAATTGCCAATAAATTTGAATCTATATCTCCGCTAATGACACCACCAATTTGTGGGTTCAGATGCCGCCCGTCAAGTGCTGCAACCCAATGCATGCCACGCGTTTGCCCCCAATTTTCACCCCACAAAAAGAGACAATATTTCGAAATGAAGAATCTATCTTTTAGATTTATTTTTGGACCCGGGGCTTGCATTGGATTGGATTGGATTGCCTCTCATTTCAATTACGTGTCAAGGCAGCAGCAGCACCAGCCGACAAAGATATCAGAATATCAAAGCGAAAGAGAGATCTCTGTGGATGGGGCGATCCCATATCCATTTTGATTAAAACTCTTTCACAATTTCCCCTCATCTGTTGCGTGCAGCGTGCAGCTTGCAGCAGCGGCAGCGGCTGTAGCCTGTAACTGTAAACGAGTGGCAGTGGCATTAGCGGATTTTAACCTCACACAGATGGGGGTTAATCAGGCAGGGAAAACTTTTCCAGAGAAGTTCAAGAAATCAATTCAAGAATTTTTTATTTTCCCAGATGAATTTACACACTTGAAAGTGATTTTAGATTTTGATTTTAGATTTTACGGAAGTTGTTTAATCATTGAAAGTGTAAATCCTTCGAGACTTAGCTGACTCTTGGCTGATTGTTTGCTTAGAAAGTGCATATTTATATTTCCCGCAAGGTGTATACTTTATTTAAGAGCTTAACTTTTTTGGAGCAACAGAATGTCGAAAAAAAGTGGAACATCCCCTTGAGGGTCTTCATTTTCTGGACCACAAATGAGGCTAATCAGTCAGTGAAAAGTTTTCCATTTTCACCCGAAAAGTGTAACAAAAATTATAATGCATTTTGGTGCGGTGGAATCATGTTGGATCAGGAAATCCCCAACAGCCAACACACACACACACACACACACACACACAGATACACCACATTTTGTGAAGACATAAATCAGGAAAAACTTGGTTTTCGCTTAATTTTGTTACTCTCTTTTTTGTTAGTGTTATTGTAGCTGTTTGTAAGTGGGCCAAAAGCAACGGTGAATGCATAACGCCGTGTTTAGCGTAGGCCCCGGCATTCAAGCAGAATAAGAGTGGAGTGTGCCTGGGTGCACTGAGTGTTTATTTGATAACCAGCCGTAGACACAATGCACCTGTACACCTGTGCAACTGAACACCATGAGAGCCCATGAGGAGCTGTAATTTGTGGCACTCCACCTTCTTGGCTGGTTGTTTTGTTATATAAAATGATATGCATTTCGAGCCAGGAGGAGAACAACCAACGATGCCGCTCCTCTCGAAAGTGTTGGCCCACAATTGAACAATTGTTTGTGGGTGTTGCGAGTGACCCAAGGCTGCGGGCTAGAGACCGTCTTTCGAGTGAAAGTTCTCGGTGAAATGAGGTTAGGTGATGGGCAATTAGATTAGGGCCAAGCCAAAATTGCACTACCAAGTCACTGTCTGACTTTTGCATGTTCCAGCACAATTCAACACTAAAGTGAATGTCTCTCTCTGCATCTCTCTTTGTTGCATCCTGGTGGCTGCAACCAGCTACAGTTTTGTGACCAAAATGGCAACATTCGCCAAGCAAAGCAATCCAATCCGATCCGATCCGATTCGATCCACTCTGCCATCGATTGACAGTGAAATGGACTCTCGCGAATCGCGAATTGATGAAAGTAAACATTTAAGTAGAACTAAATAAGTTGGATAGTCGCTTCAGACGGATGGGATGGAATGGAATGGGATGAGGATGAGGATAGCTTGCCAGTTGTTGCCACAATTTCTTTTCTGTTTTCCATCGGAGTTTTGTATCGGGTTTTTGGTTTTTTGTTTTTTTGTTTTTGCCTGGCAACCGTGTTGATGTTCACGCGAAATTGATTGCCATAAATTATGCAAAGTTGCATTCTCGTTGCTGTTTCTGTTGCTGCCTCAGCCTGGCCCGCCAGTCTGTTTGTCTGTCCGCCCGCCCGCCCGCCCGCCTGTTTGGTGGGGAATTGGTGCGCGGCGGCATTTAGAAATTGCTGCAACTGTAAGAGCCACAGCCACAGACAGCCACAGCAATAGTGGGCATCTGCATTGGTCCGGCAGTGTTGGAACGTTCGTTTGGTTATTTCTTCCGCCAAGCCCCTCATTTGTATACCCTTGCAAGAGGGTGTTGCAATTTCCCGTCAGAGGTTCTTCAGAGGCTCTATAAAGTTTGAGCTGAATAGAGTTTGGTCTGCCGGTCTGTTGGTTTTCCAGAAAACTACACTCAAAGCGCAAAAGCCCTAGACAAATCAATGTCTCCCATTCAATATTTATCTTTTAATATTCAATTCAAATTATCAGCTGTTAGAGTATCCACAGCATTTATGCTTTTTCGCTTCATTTACCTTAAGCTGCAGCTCACAGTTTGCATCTTCGATTTGGTGGCTGCTGTTGCTGCTGTTGCTGCTGTTCCTGTTGCTGCATTTCGCTAAACAATTTTTCAAACGATTTTGATCTTTTGTGGCTCTTGTTGCCTGTCTGTTGGTTGTTTGTTACTTTTTGTTTGGCTACACGGGCAACAGGCAACATTGAGATACAGTTACTTTTGATGTGCATGCAAATGTTTACACGAAACAACAGCATCCCATCCCAACCCATCCCATCCCACCTCCCATTTATCTTTCTCTCTCTCCCCCTCTATGGAGAGGCTGTGCCTCCTGTAGCAGAAGAGGGCCCCAACGTCTAACGAACTCTGATGCGCCCTAATTAATTCGCCAGAGATTTTAATGTTTGCCTCTGATCAATAACTGCCCGAAGAAAGAGGCGAAGAAATTGAAGAGCTATAAAAAGTTGGGGTCCCACAAAAGCCTAAGCCTAAGCCTGTGCCGGAGGTAACAAATTGGAAATTTACATAACAATGCATTGTGTTTCGCCGCACCGAAAAAAAAGTAAAAGTGCTTAACGCACTAATCAGGCAAAACAATAAATAAGCCACGAGTATTTCAATAACAAAAGCCCCCCATCAAAAACAAAACAAAAAACTTAAACTATTTTTTTGCAATCCGTAAGAAAAGTCGCAAAAATTCGGGAAAAAAACGTTAGCTAATATTATGTAATGGAAATGGAAATGCGGCGAATAAAATACAACAATATATTTACCGTAAATACTTAACAAATATTTGATACCAGTTGAAGCATCAGCAGCCGCAGTCGCAGCCGCAGCCTCTGCCAGCAAAATGTTTATGGAGCTAATTAAGCTATAATATTTAACGATCTCTCTCCACTCCATTCCACTCAACTCGGATCCCATCCCACTTTGCATCGCCCACGGAGTACATTTCTGTGTTACTCTTTTTGGTAATGGCGCTGAGAACACGTTTTAGGCGGTGGC